TAAATCTCTAGCCAGAGGAATAAACCTGCTGGCTACCTGTAGGGACCTGCTGCAAAAGACATACCTTGATAACCATAAGGTAAGGAAAGCAATGTGTTCCACATCTGACACACGGTCTCCTTCAGTGTGATAGTGGCTAATGAACTTTGAAAAGCTGGCTAATTTGACTTCGAAGTCAATAATGCTCGAATGCTCTTCATTGTCAGGAATATAGGTTTCTCCTACTGGTGACAAACCAGTAATGGCTGCTATGTCAAAAAAGGTGGGTGTAATCATCCCTCCAGGGAGATGGAAGGTATTGTAAGTACTTACCCAGAAATATAAGGACGCGAATAATAATGGGTGGCTATAGGTAAAGCCTGGTTTCGATAATTTAATCAAGTTGTAAATGCCTAATTCTTCCCATTGCTGGGATTTCTTGGCTTCTACTTTAGTAAACCAGTTGTGGTAGGCTGTGTCAGAGGTGGGGCAGGATCGAAATGGTTTGAAGTTACTCTTCACATAATCTAGCACAAAAGGGTCCTTTGGGGGAATGATTGGAGTTTCCACGGTGGTCGAATCGGAAGACTCCCCTGTCTTAGGGGTATCCATTTTATTAAACAAAGGTTTAAAATTATAACAAACAGGGAAAAATTTTCTGGTATCTTTTAAGATTTCAAAGACTGTAAGAGGACCCATTAAAGCTAACCTCTTGCCAGCGGCGTTAGTGGGAATTAGTACCTGAGATGCGTAGAGCATTTCCTTCTCTTTGGAGATCATCTGGGGAATAAGCACAGACTGACCTTGATAGGTGCCAACCTTGCTTTCCATTATGGTTCCTGTGTTCTTTCCTTTCTTTTTGGAAGCTTTTTTCAGTTGGGATGATGTTGAAGAAGACATTGTTTGAAGAGTATTGGAAGTTTTAGGGTTTCGGTGAGAAGAGAGGAAGAAAAGATTCAGAATGTGGGAAGAAAAATAAAAGACTAAGTTGATGGGTTTTTATAGTGTGGAAGTTTAAACATCCACTGAGTGAGATTGGAATACGTGGGAGTCGTGGGTTGGATTGAGAAGGAGGTGGCGTAAAAGCTGATGTTGGTAATAGGCGTGATTAAATAATAATCATTGTTTTATAACTGCACCATACTATGAAATGGTTCAAGGCGGTTAAGGAATCTGAAAAGTGTTGTGATTGACGTGACTGGAGTCATATGCAATAAATGTTACGATGATTCAAAGGTCGCATCAAAATCTTGTGTATATGTTTAAAATAAGTATTTCTCAAAGGAATCAAAATACATATTTTAAAGGGGCATTTTGTTGGCTGAAGATTTTGATGATATTGTTCGAAGCGAAGCAAGTTGGATGTTTCGATTGGAATAAAGCAAGATGTCATGTTTCAAAATGGTAGAAGCAGGGCTTCGAATGGGCATGTCAAAACTCTGAGCTTCGAGTGACAGTTATAGGGATATATTCAAAAGAAGTCTCGAAGTGGTAACAAGGCTGTGTCTAAGAAATGAGTTCGAAACGAAGAGTGCCAAAACATTTGAAATTCAAAACGCAAGCGGGATGTTCGAAATTTAAAATATATGTGCTGGAGCATTCGAAGACGCGTGGAAGCTAGAGGAGGGCATTGCTTTGCATGTTCTGAACGTGGCAGAATCTTATAGAAAGACTGTTATGGTCGAAGTAGTATAAATAGAAGTCTTAGCATTATGATTTCGTGTGTCATATCTATTGTACAAAAATTAAGTAAACATTCAAAATACCACATGGCTAGGGAAACGAATGCACGAACAATGTACGTATGATAACACCAAGTGTTTATGATTCAATAAAACTCTTTATCATTTCCAGTCTTTTCCTCTATCTTCATGTCAATATCATTCAAAAGCCTTTACATTAAAATATTTTCATTCGAAGTCTTTTTACTGATGTCTTACATTTAAATGTTTTCTTTCCATTTTAAATCCTTTACATTTCAGAAACTTTTGTATATTTCATGCCTTTATCTTCATGCCTTTATTATTCGAATACCTTTTTCATTCAAAGTCATTTTACTGATTTCTTGCATTTAAACGCTTTCTTCATATTTCGAATCTTTTACATTCCAGAAACGCTTTTACATTACATGTTTTTATGCTTCGAAGTCATTTACTTGTCTTTTCTGCAGTTTTACATGTCTTTACAATTGAACTTTATTCATGCAATTTAGTTTCGCACGCATTTACTTGATCATGTCATTAGATCTTTAATAGAGTAATCGAAGTAAGTTGAACACCTACACAACATTCTAAATACCAACCATGAATATCGGTTCTATAATGAGAATTATCCAAATGACCAATACATCCTAGGATCAATCTAGTCGATCCTGCAAGTTACCAGAGAGATTAAATAACAGTCATTAAGATTATTTGATAGTTTGGAGGACTAGCGGTTGTTTACCAGAAATCATTGTAAACAGTGGGGCACTTTGTTTATGTGATGAACTTGACGCTGGATAACTTTTCCACTTGTTCATCAACAACATCCCTCTTTTCTCTCTTACCTTCCACTTCTTTTGTGCTATTGGCCTGGCAGATGAATGGATGACAAGGTGATGGCTAACGACTTTGGTGTCTATCTCTGACATGTCTAAAGGGGCCAAGACAATAGGTAGATGTTTCTTCTGAGTCGGACGACTAGCTTCCGTCCTCCCCTACAGACAATGAGGTGTCTATCTTTGTGACTTGATGGGCGAGAGGTCCTATTTGTACTTCCTTCTGGTCTTCTATGGGCGTGAGTCGTTAGGCCTATGCGCCCAATTTGGGATCCCAGCCCTCAAAGTCAGTACTTTGAAATTTGAAAGGACGGGTGTCAACAAAGGCAAGTTCTTCTCTAGGCGTCTCCAAACTGCTCAGATAAAATTCATGAACCACTTGTTGATCTCCTCAGATGGTGCCCACTCTGCCATCTAGGAGCGAATATTTCAAGGTTAAATATAAGGTAGATACGACTATTCTAAAGGCATTGATGGTCGGGCGCCCAAGGATAATATTGTAAGCTGACATGGTGTCCATGATGAGGTAGTTGATGTTGATGGTTTTGACGCCAACTCCCCCGCTGCAAATGGATTTTAGGGTCACATAGCCCATTATACATATTCTCTCCCTTGATAATCCTGTCAAGGAGCCTGTGAACTCATGAATGTCGTCCGGATTCAATTGTAACTTTTGGAAGACATCATAGAATAGGACATCAGTTGATCTATCTGGATCAATCAAGACACGCTTAATATCCCAATTTTCATGTTGGACAATAATGACCAAGGGATCATTGTACAGAGGATTGATGTGCATGGTATCTTCCTCAAAGAAAACGATGTTAACCTCAGTTTCTCCCGTAGTTTCTTTAAGAAAATCAAAGGATATGGCGTTCATAGTGAGCACATGCTTCATGTATCTTCATCGAGAGGTCTCTCCTTGAGATACCTCCAAAGATGATGCTTGTTCCATAGTGTATGACTCAGGTTAGTTTTACCGAGCCCCACGGTGGGCGCCACTGTACTTTCCAAAAAGTACAAGTGAGTGTGTTTTCTCCCTACACGGGTAGAGAGAGTTAGAGACCCTAGTAGCTATATTAAACGTTTGAGGGTGAGGGCTAGATCACGGCGGCGAGTATCCATCTACAGTGGTTTTTGAGGGTGTTTAAGGGATCAACTCATGTGAGGTGAAAGGTCCTGCTGGTGGCCGATGTTGCTAGATCGCAAGCGGACAGTTAAAGTTATGTTGCTAGGGTTACTCAAAGCAGAACACTCTTTGAGTGGTGTTTAGATATATGTAAGTATGTGTTACTCGAGAGCTATTAGTTATCCCTTTGAGGGATGAGGTATTTATAGGAATTCTTGATTCCTAGGGCTTTCTTGGAAAAGGTCATCGCCTACCCAGTCAAAAGGTGGACAATTGAATTCTTATTCTCAAAGGATATGTAGGTCAGTAACTATCTTGACTTTCCTATTACCCGAGACACATCTTATCCCACGTTTCTTCTCCCCAGGGGTGAGGGAAACACATAGGCGGGGCGATACCTCCCCTTAGACGACCTTGCATCGTCGTCTGTTTCTAGTGTAGTCCCAAGTTGTCACCCTAGGCAAAGTTATTTGCAAATATAACGCTACAATATATATAATTGTTTTAACAAATATTTTTTAAATTTGTGAAACAAATGAGCTGAAGCTAACGAATTGAATCTGACGAGTTGAACCAAATTGTTCGTGAACTTAAAACATGTCAAGTTTGAGTTTAAATTTTTTTTATGTTAAACTCGAGTCAAATTTTGAGTTAAATCAATTCTTATTAAACCGAACCAAATTAAAACGAGTTCAACTCTACTCGATTCATTTTCAACCTTATCTTTAAGATATTTTTTATAAATTTTACTTTTAAGTAAAATTTAAAATTAAATATTTATAAATTTTAATTTTAAATTAAAATTTGAAAGTGACAATGAACAAAATATTTTTACAAATGCAACAACTAAAAAAAAATTAAAAAGCGTAAGTAAAGTATTGTAAATGGCAAGTTGGAAACTATATTTAATTTAAACAATGTTTGACTATCTTTATCTAATAACAAAATTTTCATACATAATTAATGTTTTTTTTTTTTGCAATTCAATGAATTTCTTGAACTTTTAAATAAGAATTAATAAAATTAAACATTACGAAAAAATTATGACAAAATACAAATAATTATTTCATCTATAATAAAATATAAACAAAAAATAAATACATTTTATCTAAATTTAATTCAAATACATATTTTTATACGAAGTTAAAAAAATCCTCTCTATATTTATAATCGAACATTTGACTGCAATGGTTTATACTCTACTGTCCTATCTGGCACAGCCACCCCACTTTACGTTTCCGTGGCATCACATTGCCACGTCACACATTTCAATCTCGAAACCTTAAATAAAACAAAAACCTCAATAGTAGTAGATTCATTGTTTGTTTCCTCTCGTACTACCATCCTTAAACCATGTCGTCTCTGCTCACTCCTAGATCTCATCTTTCCATTTTTCTTCTCCTCCTTGTTTTCATTCTTCCTCACACAGCAACAACAGCTCAGGAATCTTCCCTTGTTGAGATTCTCCGCAACCATGGCCTCCCAGCAGGGCTCTTCCCTCAGAGTGTGAAATCATTCGAATTAGACCAAATGGGTCGTTTAGAAGTACACTTAGATCGTCCTTGTTTGGCTCAGTATGAAACAACAGTGTTCTTCGATAGTGTTGTTAAAGCCAACCTTAGTTTCGGACAGCTTAAGGTTTTGGAGGGTATGTCTCGTGAGGAGCTTTTCCTATGGCTACCAGTTAAAGATATCATTGTCACCGATCAAACTTCTGGACTAATTCTCATTGATATTGGTTTTGCCTATAAACGACTCTCTTTCTCTCGTTTTGATGAACCCCCAATTTGTAGATCTCATCAAGGTATTGTATTACTATCTTCCTTTTCTCTCACTTTTTAATTGCGGGTTTTAGTTTTAATTAAGTAGAATTGAAAAAAAATTAATTTTGTAAAATGGGTTTTTGTTCTATGATTGATTGCAGGTCTGTTTTTTCGTATGGTTGGAAGGAAGGGTTTTGGATTTGGAGATAAGAGATGATGAGATTATTCAATTTGTATGAAACGGGATGGCTTTACTCTATTCAATTTTGGGGTTTAATGAAAAACTATATGTATGTACAAAATGTGCAATTTCTATATAATCATAATGTCATCCAATAATTGCTTAAAATTAATCACCTGATAATCAATTCTATAGAAGAAATCATGACTATAACTAACTGTGTGTTTGGATTGACGGTGGACAGAATTGATTCTGTCAGAATTGAGTTTGGTAGAATTGATTTTATTATAATTGAGTTTAGGAGAATTCATTTATGTTTGAATAAATGTATGTAAAAGTAAGTTGAATAATAAATTCCAGTTTAAAAATCACCAAGAATCAATTATGGAGGCAAAAAATTACAAATTTTAGCTTTAAGTATAATCAATTCTGGAGACAGAATCAATTCTACTTTTATCTAATCAAACATCTCAAAATTATTCAGAATCAATTTTCCATCTCTAAAATTGTTTTTGTCCCTTTCAAAAGTCAAACCAAACATACAATAAGAATAATTTCAATTTTGTGTAAGGTTCATGTTAATGTTTGAATGGACTTGTTACATAGTTAGTCCATTCATTTTGTTCAAATTTAGATTTTACTCTTAATTGTTCAGCTTATCATGTCTTTAAAGAAGCTTATTCTAAGAACCCGTATACTTTCATTAAGAAACTATGTTACTTAATGTTTTTGAATTAATTGTTCGATAATATCTGATATCTTATAGAGTTTTATCTTATAGAATTTGGAATTTTAATTATAGTATGTGTTTGTTTCTGCGTTGAAATTATCCAACACTAGGGAAGACGAAGGGACACGACAAAATCAGTTATGATGCAATATCGGTTCTAATGCAATAACCCTTCTGATGTAGAGTCTTTTCCAAAGAATATAGTTAGCTTTTGACTTAGATTCTTACCATTATGCAAATTTGTAGTTATGCATGCTCCTTTTATGGTTGTAATATTGATGTCTGTCAGTTCAATGCATAAGTCATTCGTAATCTCCATTCATTTCTCAATGATCATCTTAATCTACAACTTATTTCCATGAGTTCTTCTTTTCCACTTGAACCTCTTCCTATGCAAAGTAACCAAACAAATTCAGTAAAGTAGAATATTTATATCAAACCTGTTTCCCCCTTTCTTCATCTCTTATGCAGCAGAACATTTATCTATTTTTTACTTGTCTTTGATTTTTCTTTTGCTTCCATTTCTTTACTCTACTCTAGCAAGTGTACTAAAATTCAATAAAGTAGTAAATTAAATTTATATCTTACAGAGAATGAGGTTAAATTAGAACCAAAAACATTCACAAATTTACTTAGGTGATACATTGGAAATCGTTAGTAACCTTTAATAAATTATGGCGTTATTAGGATTTTCCAATTCTTACTATCTTTCTCAATAGTGAAGCGAACTCTAAATCAATTTTATTGTGGCCAATTATATACAAAAGTATTAAGAACAACACTCAATAGATATACACATCAAATGGATAAATTGAATCTTCACTTCTTGTGTTTCAAGAGTGAATTCTTAAATTTCCTATTTGTCGTAGAATGTTGCCTCCAATTGCCAAAGTTTCAAACCATTAATTCTTACTCAAAAATCAGATAAATAAAGTTAAAATCTTTGTGTCATTGCCTTAGCGAGTAATGATATCGCACAGGTAATCAGTGTCCTATTGGTGATCTATTAGTGATCTGAAATTCACCCGTATACATCCGTTACTCTGCCCAATTTTTGTGAAGACTTAATACACTTGAAGTTTGGTTCTCTCAAGAGGTCTAGTATCTTTGCTTGCTTGATTTCAATCCAAAGAATGGGAATTCTATCTTGACTCATAATGTCAAGTATTGTCTTCTTGTTGGTTAGATGATTCTTCTCCTTAACTTTTACCTTATGCTTTAGGATAGTCTTTTCTTCTCCTCCCATCTTCTTGAATTTCAAAAATCTTCTCCCTCCTTTTTAAACTCTTCTAGTTTTAAAACTTGAAAGACTTTCACAATAAACTTGGACTTAGGTCCATGCATTTTCAAAACATTTTCATAAATAAACTTCAATCAACTTAATAATACCTTGATATTTTTTTTGTGAGAAGACTAAAAGTCAATCAATCTCATTTCAAACCATTTTGCCACTTTGGCTTTTATCTTTAAACTTTTCTCAAAAGGTTAGACTCTTGTCAATACTTGTAGTGATAAAAATAACTATACTTCTACAATATATAGTGAAGTGAGATATTTTCCACTTGGGTGTTGAGTGAGGCATTGTTGATTTTAAAATCCAAGCCATATCCTCCACTTTGAGATGATGCAAATTCTCCTTTCTCATGATTGTGGGTAGTAAGTATGTTTTTCCACACGGACCATGACGATGATGTCTCATCTCTTAAAACTAACCAACACACTTGTGTTTCAAGTTTTTAAAAGAGGAACTACGTGTACCCTGATCCCCTATTGCATGAAAGGTGGTACGTAGGCACTAAAGGTTCGCAACCGCGGTGGGTGCAAAAATCATAAAAAATATTTCTCTTCTCACCTCCACTATCCATTTTCTATACAACACATTTTTATAGCCAAAATATACAGATTTTACAAAGAGGTTCCTGCGGAGTACCGTAGATGTTTAGGGTGCTAACACCTTCCCTTTGCATAACCAACCCCCTTACCTTGAATCTTTCCCCCTCTTTTTGGGTTATTCGCTCTTTTTCCATTCCTTTGGAAACAATAAAGCGCGGTGGTGATTTTTATTTTGATTTGTATAAAGTCTAGTCAATCCAATGGCTTAGTCTTGAACATTTCTACCGCTACACTGGGGGTGAGAGAAACTTGTACCACTGGGGATATGAGGATCCAAGCTAGAGATAAGAGAACTTATGCACATAACTCTTGCTGGAGAGGAGGTAATATTGGTGTAAGAAACTCCACTGGGGATTTACAAATGATCTTAAAAAAGAATGAGCCTCGCCGGGGATATAGAGAAACCTCAGGTAAGAAGTCATGATAGGGCACTCCCCTGGGGATATGAAACTTATCAACATCCAAGGTCAAACTCTGTTGGAGAAAAGGGAGAATCATTGAATAAGAATCTTTCAATGGAATAACTCAACCGGGGAAATGAAAAATTCCTGAATAAGAAATCTCAAATAAGTCAACTTAGCTAGAGAGATAAAAGATCCTGAGCAAGAGATCTCAGAAAGTGGATTTTTGGGGATACAAGAGAATCTTCAACACGACCCAACTTGAAAAAAATGAACAATTCTCAAACAAACTTGGCTGGTGGATGTGAAAAGATTTTCAACATAAGGAGTCTCAAGTTGAGCTTCCACTGGGGAGATGAGAGAATTCTTGAATAAGAAATCTTGGTGAAGTGACTTGTTGGGGAATAATAAAATTCTCGACTGGAATTCTTAGCCGGGGAATAAGATAATCCTCAACACGACTTAGCTGGGAAAAAATGAACAATTTTCAAACAAACTTGGCTGGTGGATGAGAAAATATTTTCAACATAAGGAGTCTCAAGATAAGCTTCCGTTGGGGAGATGAGAAAATTCTTGGATAGAAATCTTGGTGAAACGACTTGTCAGAGAATAAGAAAATGCTTAACCTGAGCTCTTGGCTGGGGAATGAGGAACTCTGCTTTGGGGAATAGACATTCTCTAATGAGTACAAAACATCAGATATCTGTTGAGGATGTAGATTTTTTTACCAATAAGTATCATCATTCTATACTACCAGACAAAGATTCTCCACTTGGCGATGCCGGGGAGAAGAAAAATTTGAGTATTGTTGGGAAATGATTCAAGAATTTCCAAACCAGTCACACTTTTTAGCCACAATCCATTTTTCTTGGGGAAGACTTACTGGGGAGAAATAGAAATTTCAGTGCTGTTGGGGAAACGACCCAAGTTAGGGATACCGTAGTCATTTTGGAATATTTTGTTCCGATATTGGCAAATTACACATAAACGAGTGAACGGAAGTTTCTGCAGAACAAATCACACCAAGCGTGCACCAGGTATAATATGAAGGAAATTCACTAGAGAAGGTTCTTGTAGAAACTCTGTACCATACTTATTTGAGATGAATGCCCCAGTGTATTTACGATTTGAATAACTCTCTTAAAAAACTGGTTAATTAAGAGATTTGTCGAATCTCGACATAAATACTTCAGATTGATTGGCTTTTGAAAAGATTTACCTCGAGAGGACTTCCTGAGATCTATGCCATTATGGATAAGTTTCCCCAGTGTTATGTATTTCAGAACACTGCTCCTGACTTAACAATACTGGAAGTAACTTTAACAACACTTGGGTAACGGACCCTGATCACTCGACACTTTGAGAGATTCTTTGAATGTCCATAAAACTTCCCCGAATTGGCGAAACTATAAAAAGATTTCTCGACGTGACTGCCCCAAATTGGCTGAATCTGAAAACTTCATTTCCTTTAAGGGTACTAAAAAATGGGAAAACAACTTGCGCATGCTCAACAGAGTCTTTAGGCAGCACGCCCCTTAGGGTAACTAGATTGTAAAGCACCAAACTTCTTGCACTTAATGGAGTATCTGGGAAATCGTGCCCGTTGATATCATCAATTATCTTGAGACAACTAACTTTTGATTCAATAGAGTATTCAAGCCTCTCTTCTTTGACAAGATTAAGCTTTTCACTAATGCGCATTGTGTAAACTCCCTTGATGTTAAACAATTGTTTTTCATGCAGAAGAATGTTTATTATGAGAATGATAATTCTAATTCAACACTTATGTAAGTATTGAAGTTTTTATATGGAAATGACATTACGACTTCTTGTGAACGAATCATATTTAGAGTGCAACACTTGAAAACTTTTTTCTGAACGATAAAACGAGCATATGATACCAACACAAATATTTAGCACGCATTTTGGGAGTCAGTTAAATGCTATTTTATTGAAGTATGCTTTCGAATGAATCCACTCTTCAGTTAGTACTTTTAAGGGTTGTAACATGG